TTTATAATAGAGAATTAATAATAAATTTTTCCAATTATTATTTAGTACAACATCAGTCTCATGACTCTGCATAAGGTATACATTTATCCATAACCGGTAGATTTGAAAACATTAACCAGGCGATATTTACACTGTAGATGAAAATTTTAATGTATTGAAATGATAAACTCTGCTGCTAGAACATAAAAAATAATAAAAATATTTGTTACTGTCAAAGCATTTTTGTGTTATTTTTTAAAACTTAAATATTTTTTCTTCAATTTAAATATTTAATATTATAGTATTTAAAATACTCATTTTTAATTATTTATGTTGACTGAAAGCTACTACAATATTTGAAATAAGTTACCGGCAAGATTTCTGTAAACTCTTGTAGTTCAATTGTACTTTTTAGCAAACAATAACTCAGTATTTATTAAGTTTTATTTCACTAGTAGTACTATCAGCACGATGTAGAAATGCCGTATTTTTTTTTTAAATACTTTTGCCGAGACTATATTAGCATAACGAAGAACACTCTGATTTCATTCGAAAGTTGTGGTTTTCACGATCAGCTATAGTCGAGACACTCTACCCTACCGGTTATTTTAGTATCTATTATATTTATATTTATTCTTTTTTTTCTCTTATGGCCAAATAAAGCCAGATCATTATCCGGATTTGTGACAATAACGTAGCGATTTCATTAAAAGTAAGTGAAGACAATACTGTTTTTAGTTGATGAAGTTTATTATATATTATAAAAAAAATTCATATTGTTAATTATTTAACAATTATTGCAAAGCTGCTGCTAGCAAAATTAAACTAAGCATAAGCTATGGGGATTATTATTAAAATATTTTTGACTCTTATTGCCATTCTTCAATAATTTCGAATATATATGCATAAATTTAGTAAAAAATTAATAATAATAATTTGTTAAAATACAAACACTAAAAATAATAAAACATTTCAAAATTTCATTTTTAATCTTCACTAATTTTTAATGCTATGGATATGATAATGTGCATAGAATGAAAGTTGAAGTTCAATGAGTTCGTGCTAATTTGTATCGACTTAATAAATTATATGCTAAATTATATGTTCTTATTTACAAAAAAAAAAAAACAAAACGAAGCCGATACGTATAATAAAATGCATTGTAAATTTTTAATTGAAAAGTAAACAATTTGAAGTCAATTTTCCAGTATACAATATTTAGAGGCATTGAACATTTGCAAAAATAAATCTAAATATTTATATAATATTTGCTTCCTCTCAAAATAAAAACTCGCATCCCCAAAATAAAAAATTACACAAAAAATAATGCTTTTATGTTAACTTTTTAAATAAATTGAATGAACGAATTGGCCGTAGTCAAACCGAAGCACTCAACCCAAAATCGGAGCGTGTTGAGCGTGTCTGGAGGCATGTCTATGAAATAATTTAGTTGTTAATTCCATATAATTCCGGTTTTTAATTGATGCCTCAAAGTAGCTATAAACATATATAAATAAACAAACTAATCTTATGTGTAAGACGCACATAAATAGATATAACCACATAGGAGTACGAGCATCTAGATGAGGAATATGTAGCTACCCGCTCCAGAGCAACGCCTTTCCCAGATGAACTTTTTTCAGGTGAATCAGTTTTCAGTTTTATAATTTTTTAATGAGTGCAATGCCGTGTGCTCTACACAATGAAATTATTGAAATGGACTAAAGCACCAGATGACTGATGTCTGCCTTAATGTATAGACAGTTTTTCTGAATATCAATAAATCAATTTCCATCAGCACAAACATCATCACCACAAAAATACAACAAACAGAAAACAAACAAATTGAGAAGGGAAAAAGCTGATTTTTCTTAAATGAAAAACTTTAATGAAAATTGTTTTTATTTTTAGTTTGGCAACAAATTTTTTATGCCATCATCTGCGTGAAAAATCTTTTCACACAGATTGGGGTCAAATATTGCCTCTGCTGATCATAGATGAAAAAATTTTCACAAGCACTTTAGGTACCTCAACAACCCAAAGGGCACTTAGCAGATATTCACGCTTGTACGAATAATGAAATTAGTTTAAATTTATTGTACCCAACAGAAGCGGAAATTCAAGCATTTAAAGCTTGTCGTCGTTTGGTGCTTGGATGTCTGTCTCCTATGGAAAATCCATTTGGCATTGACCTTCCGTTTTAAAGTACAACATTTTTATTTTAAATTTTTTTATACTTAGTAAAGTTTAATGAAATAAATGAAAGTTTATTTACTCTATTTCTTTTTGATAAAATTAAAACTACATCGAAAACATTCTTCCATCGAGGAAGAAAACGATGTACAGTAAATTCCGTACTGTACATAATACGAGTATTTATTGCTGTAAAACCCCTAAGAGTTCACAAAATTAATACCATAAAGTTTAATTTATAAAATATGGTACTACTTATATATACAAATTTAATAAATATGTAGTATAGTATAAAGTAAACAAAATAAAGTTTTGTTACCAATAAGGATTTAACATATGTTAGTCCATTTACTCTTGATATTTCAGAAAACACAATGCAATTCTAATACATAGAATGGCATTATTACATATATTAGAAGAGCAAACCTGAGCAACAAAATTTAATTCTTTGAAAATTCAACGCTGCGGTCATCAACCTATGAGATCTTATGTGACCTTTTATCACTTTTGACAAAAGTTTATATATACATGTGTAAAGCTTGTAAAGGAAGATATCCCTTGCCAATTAATTGTTTCTCTGTTACGCGTTATTTTTAAACCAAAAAAATATGAAATAGCTTTCCACTGCCATTATCTGTCGTAAAGCAATGCATAGAAATATATGGGTACATACATAACCATAGATATAGATAAAGATATAGATATAGATATAGATATAGATATAGATATAGATATAGATATAGATATAGATATAGATATAGATATAGATATAGATATAGATATAGATATAGATATAGATATAGATATAGATATAGATATAGATATAGATATAGATATAGATATAAATATAGATATAGATATAGATATAGATATAGATATAGATATAGATATAGATATAGATATAGATATAGATATAGATATATATATATATGTATATATAATTAAAATATATATATATAAATGTGATATAAATTATTTTTTGTATTATTTTTTATTTCTTTTTTAGGTGGAAGAGTGGAACAAGTGGACATATCGTACAATAAAACAATGGACATACATACAGCACAGAAGGAATTTTTTAAAGCAATGAAAAATATCTCCGTTGACTATGAACTGCGAAAAGTAAGTGCATTTCTTATGCATTTTAGCATATTAAATCTATAGGTTGTGTACTTTTATCGGTTCTAATAACCCTCGAAATATTATTTATTTTTTCTTGATTTTTTTCAGTACGACATTAAAGAGTGGAATGGTAAGCTAATTAATACATTACGTTCATACCAACCGGCAGTTGAGTCACTGCTGAATAATAACAAATCGCTTGAAGAACTACTAAATCCAGAGGAGCCTTGGAACTTTTGGAATGCCATGTTTTATTGTGGCACGATTTATACAACTATAGGTGAGCTAAAAATTTATTTAATATAATTTTAAATTGAATTTTATGTCATTGAATTCACACGTGTAGACGGACGTGTGAATCTTTAATCTTTTACACCTCATCATTTAGAACACTTGCTCATTAGTGCAAAACACTGAAAGAAAAATTAGATTCTTTAGGCACTGAATTGAATCTGTGTCAATAAATGCGAGGTTCAACGAATTCTGTCAAAAACTACATCAAGAACATTTCTAGTGCGAAAACTCCCACATAGTTAGGAACGATTTTGAAAAATATACTTTATAGCAAAAAAAAACATATTTTTAAGAAAAATGTTAAGTGTACAACGCAATACTCAAGCCATTAGCGCCAAGATTTGCGTCTCTGGGGACATAATATAATAATTTAAAAAATATATATATTTATAATTATATATTTTTTTTTTCGTTTTTTGAGTAAATCTTATAAATATTTTTCTTTATCATTTTTATTTTTCGTTCTTATTAAAAGTATTTTTAGCATTTCTCCGATTTTGAATTCGAAGAATTTTGTAAAATTCATAATACTTTGATAATCAAACAAAATAATGTCAGCTGTATTTATCTAAATTATACTTTTTGTTTGTTAAAATTTATAATAATAGTAGTTTTCTTTCGGTCCTTGCTTGTACATATTTTTCAAACTAAGATCTCGTATAGCAATTCCATAAAGACTAAATTATGTGTAGAATTGTATAGCTCTTGTCTTTATAATAGATTATAGATTATAATAGATTTCTGTTTATCAGTCTTGTATAAAATAATTGGAGCTAGTAATAAAAGGTTAAGATACCTAGAAGTACATGTATGGTAACATCAAATAATAATTAAGCTGATAATTGAATATTCTGTAAACTTTCTTCAAGCGTATATCGATCAAAATTAATACTAGATTATCGAAAATACCGATAGACTGTTTTCAATTGACGATCAAATTTATAGATAGATTATCTAAGTTATCTATAGCCAATCGAAGTTATTGATAGATTATTAAAATTATTAATGAACTCTTAAAACCATCGATAGACTGCCAAAAGTGTGTAACAGACGTTCCAATTATCAATTATGGTTTGCAATAAATGTGGCATGAACATTGGCTTCCAATACGTCCAGAGCCGCTGATTTGTCGACATAGACCAACGTCTTAACATAGCCCCATAAAAAATAATCGAGGGGCGTTACATCACACAAACGAAAGACCAACAGGACCACTTCTGAATATAAAGTTTTTACCAAATTAATTTTGCAATAAATCGATTGTTAAGCACGCTGTATGGCAAGTTACGTCGACTTGTTGGAGTCAATGTCGTCGATATTTAGTCAGCATCGCTCGATAGTGCTCGTCATTCACTGTAACTGTAGTTCTCGTTGCCACCAGCGTGTAAACCATGTAGTTGTTTGACATTCTCAGCTGTCAAACCTTAGTTATCGATATCGATAGTTCTCATACAGCTGGAAAAATACCCTGTATAATACATTTCTGATCATAAAAATGAAATTAATTATATAGAAACACAAACTGATGATTCACTTCAATAAAAGTTTATAAATTTTGCAATAATATAAATAAAACCTTAACATTGTGATTTAGAAACTAAAAATATATTATATCGACTTCGATCACAATGAATAAAAATTTATAAGAACTTCAAAACGAAGATGAATTTTATAAAAAATTATATATTATATTATTATATTATTCATTATTTATTATTAAGAAATGCTTAATATCGTCAAATATAATATAATTACTATTCATACAAATATATTTATATTTATTTGGGCTCGTTACCTTTTAGATTTGCAGATACTTTTTATTCATCTAAAAATAAAATTCCACAAACTCTTGAATGCAGCCATTTCAAATGTTTCAAAATAAAAATTATTTGAATCATTTTCAGTAAATTTAAGAAAGACATTCAAATGTTGAATTGTTTAGAAATCTGCATAAATTAAGCGAGTTCATCTATTTAATGCTTCCACAAGATAATAAACTGCAAATTGCAACTGCAACAGATTGTTTACATATGTCGAACAAGTGCAACATTGCGGAAAAAATCCATTAAATCAGACATTTTCATTAATTATGGCATTTTTCTCGTATACGTAGTCCGGCAGTGACAAATTACTTAAGTATATTCATAAAATTTTCAAAATATATCAATTTGAAGTGGCGCTGTCTATTTTCGTTTTTTATTCGATATTTATTTTAGAACGTAAAGCAGATAAACTGATTATCTTGCTCCCGCTATGATACTTAAACTGTTAGAAAGGCCCCAAATCATAAAAAAACATTATAGTATTTTTTGTTACTGGATAAAGAAGAGACAATCCTATAGTAATGGAGATTGCATTTAAAAGTTCTTGGTTATGATTTTTGAAATAACTATTTAACTATTTCGGATCTGAAAGAGAATAGATTATTATTCCTTTCTGCTCACTCGGTATCCAATATCCTAGAAGATTCATAAAAAAAATTATATAATTTTAATTTCTTCCATATAAAATTTTTAAGTAAACAAAATGCCATGCAATCCATGTATGGGTCCATAGCGTTTCCTTAGGAGTCCTGTTTTTAAATTTCCAACTCCTTGTAAATAAGTATTACAACTATATACTAAGTGCTGATATGATACTTAATAATGTTTGTGTTTATGATAACTAAACCCATTTTTTTTCTTTTCTGAGATTGTCGACAGGAGTTTCTAATAGTCATTCGAGATTCTCGAAAAACAGATAATACAGCTGAAAATCGCCGCAAAAACTAATAACTTGATTATTCTTTGTGCGTGTCTTAATATAGGTAGCAAAGAGAGAACTTCTTGTTCCAATGCATGCCTGCTTATATGGTAAAATAATATCTGCTTACAAGGGACACAAACTACCGATTTTGGTTATACCCAAATTAATGAGTTTCCTAGCTCTAGATGTGATTATAAATGTGAACAGATTCAATTAATCTTTTCACAAATGATGTCATAGATTTTATTAATCACATTTATTTTATTAACTATTTCATCAGCATATTTGGGAATATTTATCGACGACTTTCAGTTTAAAATAAATTTTATTAAAAAAAAATTTAATAAATTATAATTTAACATCAATTGTGACGACAGTGACTATTTTACTAAATAAAAACTATTGGATTTAATAGAGAAGTTTTGAACAGTAGAGAATAGCAACAACAAAATGTTTAATATTTTCTTTTTGACTGTTTAATATGTTTAATATTTTCTTTTTGACTGACCTGCCGGCTTTGGGTCAGTTGATTTTGACTTGATGCTGACTCTGAGCGTCGAATTTGGCAGGGTACGAGTTTAACTCTTCGTACTTGTAGTCTCAAAAATTCCAAGACTACTAATGATGGGTATTTGGTAATACTCGAAACAGCCAAAAATTCATACTGAAATAGACTCAGTTAAATACTGCTTTAGTATGAAAATTTTTATACTATTTTTATGTGCAAATATGCAATTTAGTTTTATTTTTAAAAATAAAAAATACACAACAGCGAATAAAAATATTTAATATAAGTCGAGTGCCAAAGCAATTTTTGAAAGTAAAGATTTTTATAATCCATAACATTTATATAAATATTTTCACATTTTGTATTCAGATACAAAAATAAATTTAATATTTTGGTCGCAGAAACTGAAAGTTTTTCAACAAAATAAATTTATTTATAATATTGGAACATTTATTATATTTTTCTAAATTATACAATAATTCTTATTAATGACTTTCACTCACAGTTGTTGTAATTAGTATTTTGCACTTAAACTTTTATACATTATATACATATATTTATATGAATATATAATAGTAGAAATAATTTATATAGATACAATGCCCTTAAGTCAACCTGTTTTTATAAAACAAATTAATTAATAATAAAAATGATATTTACCCACAATCACTTCGTCCTTTAAGATGTATTGAAGTATATATGGTATTGACTGAACAGAACAATATGCTTTAATTCTTTATACTTGAAATAATGATTTTGAGAACCTCACATCGGTCCAAAGAATCCATATTCCCTTTTATATAGATTCCACATTTCCTGATTATTAATAGTAATATTAAAACATTTTATAAACAAATTTTTAAAAGTAATTTGTTTATATCATTATTTTAATTTTTATTTTATTTTATTTTCCTCAATTAGAAGTTATTTCAATTCATTTAAAATTGTAAAATTAAGTTTTTGGAATCACTTTTGAAAATGCGGTCGTAAAACAATTTTGTTGGAAATTTGTCAAATGTGTTGAAAAACTATTAACGACTTAAAGATAATTTGCAGATACATAAGATCGACACATGAAAATGTTTATTTTATAATAAACAACACTCATTTCAAATTACTTAGCAAAAATAATTTTGAGGATTGATGATGGATTTGTCATAAAATAGTTGCACACATTGATATGACAGTACACAGTGGAAACATTCAGGATTTAATTAATTTAATTTAAAACCTACATTCACTTATAACACAAATAGATATTATTTATAATTAATAGATTCGACATGACAACCGCTCAAAAACCCAATTCCGTCATATTACACCTTCCCAATCAACGCCTGGTATTGGTTTTACTTTAAAACTGTAAAGGCAAAATCTTTTAACATTTGATTTTATTCTCTATATATTTATCCTTTGTAGAGCAAACGTCTTACAATTTTCCAAATTTTCCAATTTTGCCTATTTCCAGCGATATATCTCTTTGTTTCATTGTTTATGGTTCTATAAACCGTAAACAGTATAATGAATTATATGGATTATACCCAGCACGATATTTTTCTAAATATATAACTAATCTAATATATAAAATTCTATATCCTGATATAGTTTACTGACTCACTTACTCTACCCCAGTTTCACCTATGGAAAACGCCATTAGATTACTCTAAAAATTTTCGATTGGACAACAAAATTTGACAGATCGAAATCAAATCTAGATTGAATCCAGATTAAAAAATCGAAAACGTCATAACATTTTTGT